AGGTTTGCAAAGGACGTTACTAAAACTAGGTCCAGACAGAGCAAATACAGTCTGCGTTCCAGCAAAAAAAAAAAGAAAAAAAGAAGAGACTGCTTTTTTGTGCCAGTTTGTTCAACTGCACCCCTCCGCTTTTGTTACGGTGGTAAATGCAACTTAAAAGCAGCTCATTTTATGCATGTCCAATCTCGCGCTGCGGATAGCAGACATGCTTGAACGGCGTTGAGAATACTAACTCATTTTTCTGAAAATGTTTATTTCCAAAAACGATCCATTTCAAACCAGAACTAAGTCTTTAGCTGTCGTCATCACCACCACAGGGGTGTCACGTGAAAATATCGCGTCCCTGATGTCACGTAAAACGAAACTTTCCACAAAACATGTGAATTTGGTTGTTTTGAAGCTCTGAACTGTTCGTAAATGTTTCTCAAAAGATCGGAACGATGGAGGTGTATACGTTTGCAGATGCGGTAACACACGAGAAAATCAGCGGTAACAGCAGGACGAAGCAATCGTTCTGCCCAGGAGAGCAGTCTGAGCCGAAAAGAAGAGAGCTTACTTTTAAGAGCTCTTTTGTTTATCGAACAATTCTTAAACCGATTGTGGAAAGAAGTCGTAATGCAAAGTCTTTCTCACCCTGCGTCTCAAATTTAGCAATTTTTATCGGGTTGGCAACACTCGTTTATTGCTTCTTTTGCTTGTTTTCGTGGAGTTAATATAATAATCTAGAGGGAAATGTGCCACGTATTTCGGCCGCTTCGGCACGGCGGAGCAGAGACGCTCACATTAATGGTCCCGAAGGTACCATATTGCGGGAGACATACTCAAAGAATCAGAATTAAAAAAAAAATTCATGGACACCTAAGCATTTTTTATGAGTTAATGCGAAAGCATGAATGTCGTACTTCCGCCCCCTTGGTTCGTCTGCGGTGTACTGGCGTGGACGGCCACCGGCATCGCGCGCGGTAAAAACATAAATAAAGTTGACGAGCACTCCAACATCTTCCCCCTATTGCGGCAGGGCGAACACCCCTAACCTGTATCGTCGGATTTCTTGCTCCGCTCTTCGGTCGATCTCTTTCTCGCACTTTCCCTCTGGAGACCGCCGATGTCAGCTTACGATTTGGCGCTTCGCGCTCCCCGTTTGTACCGCCCTGCTTGTGTTGGCTGCGTGCCAGAAGAACGGGCGTCGAAAAGCGCTTCACTTCCGGGGCCCACGTGACTGCTTGTTTACCTGTTGAGTAAAGAGGAAAAGTCGACTGAGGTTTTTACTTCACATTTTATTTTAAATTGTACGAACCGAAACAAAAACAGATTCCTCTTCCGGGTCCCACTATATTCTTTATTTATTGCAGTCACTAGTATTTATAGTATAACGGTTGGAAAATCAGTTCGTAACCATTTTATAGCAGCTGTTGCATTGGCATGCCGATCATTCTTAGGCTAAGCGCAGTTTCCCTACAAAACCGAACGATAATGATAATGATGATGACGATGATGAGGAGCATGAAGATGCTTATATAATGTCTTGCTCAAGTTGTCGTCTGCTTCTGAACATACTATTTTCAAAACCCCATGAAGCAACATTGGCTGTCGCCATTTTTGGGGGGTACAAAGCGTGTGATTGGAGCCGAGTCATCGTCAAACGCTGACGTAACACTCTTTTCTTTTTAATTTTTAATACGAGATGAGTCGGATTCACGCAGCCCTCGTGTCTGATACATGCTCGGAATACGGGCCTGAACAACGGGGCACTCGAGTCATTATCGAAGCAGCTACCAGTCTATTTGTCCCAAGCTGCGGGAAAAATGGGTCTTGTATGACTCATACGTCGGTCTCGACTCTCAAGCCGGTACGTTGTCCAGCAGTTTGTGCTGCTTCGGGCGACGGAACCCCAGGACGAGGCCGGAGTCAGTTCATGGTTGACTGTTGTACATCTAGACGGTGGTTTAAAAAGTGCAAATGACAAAGAAGAGACGAGGGGGAGAGTACAGAGCCCTTACTTACAACTGTCGATTTAATAGAGCACGTAGAGAAAGACAAGATGGAAGTGAAAAAGGAGGAAAGCTGCCTTAGAACAAAATATTACTTATTTTGAATACAATAACACTATTACCTTCTGGTTCTGGTTTACTGATATCGAAACACCGTGGTAGTGACCATTTCTCAACTTACACCATCCTGAAGGGATTTTCATGCCGAAAAATTCGCTACGCTGTTCGTTGAGCAAACTGACAAGTCTATCAAACATCAATGAAGCCTTTCTGCCAGTATTCCACTAACCCTCAAGACTTCAGTGCGCGTGTTGCTGCTGCTACGGAAAGTGAAACCAGAAGCTACAATCTTCCTGCGACCCGGACTGCAATCGATGGGGAATATGAACATATACGTGCTAAGCGTCGTCGGTCCGAAAGAGGGTCTTGATGGACCAAAGATATAAAGGATCTACGTGACTCTCGCCGCACGCAGAAAAAGATAGGTCAATATCTGCACAAACTTGGAAGGGTCAAATATGCTCAAAATTAGGTCAAAGGAAATGTCTTACGGTAGTCTGGCGTATGGCGCGTCAGGTATACGGACACCTCGATGCGATATAAGTTCCATGCTTTATCTCTGCGCCTAAATGTGCCTGAGACGGAGGTCGCCGAAAACTTCTGTCGGCGTCTCACCCAACAGCAAGCGGGTTCTAAATTCTAATGAATCGTTTTGTCCCATCCAAGCAAGCGTACCACCGTTGTCCGACGACGAAATGAATTTGTCCTTTCGTTTTCAGTTCAGCTCTGGCTGCCTGAAGTTTATCTTCAAGCAGCCAGAGCTGCCTGAAGTATAACTTCAGGGAGCTCTGGTTACAGTGAAGCGGACTTCGACTCCAAAACGTGACGACGTTACGTATAGCGCCGTTGCTCATCTAGGCCCACGAGATCAAAATCAACCTCTTGATTCTTGCAACGATTCGTGGGAATCTTGTCAGGTACCATCAATACGGATGCACTGCAACCTTAAATTACTGGATTAATCCACACTACCACCATCCTAAGCTATACTCCCTGGATCCTCAACTTGCATTCTGCTTTCCATCTGGACTTTCAAGACAGCTGGAGGGGGTCCTGCATCGACTACGGCTTGGTGTGGTATGTACACCGCAGTTCCTTTGTTGGATTGAAAGGAGAGATTCCGCAAACAGTGCAAGCTGCAAAGTCGAAGAGACATTTGAACACCTCGTGTGTGAATGCGATGAATTAAACGAGGATCGACAATATGGCGTTGGAATCGCGGCCTTTCAGCTAATCAGAAGTACTTTGTGCCTGCGACACAGCCGGACAATTCATGAAGGCCACGAAAATCTTAGTAGTGTTCCTCACGAACACGGAGTTATCTGCCATTTAGTGGGGTGCTTAAAAATACCTATGTGAGACTTTGAACATTGACACCCTCGTGGACAACTTCACCCCGTCTCTCTTTCTCATCGTCATACCTCTTCTTCGCCTTTCGCCTTCTCCCCAGTACAGAGTAACCCACTAGAACCTGCGTTCAGGTTAACCTCTCTGTAATTCCCTAATAAACCCTTCTCTCTATCTCTCTCTTTCTTATCTATATGACATACGTTCCTTCCCGCCTTTTTTGTTTTTCATATGGCATATTAACAGTGGAAGATGTCAAAAGCACCCATTTGTTGAGGAAAATATTTGTACATAGAATAAATGAAATTATGATTTTCTGTTTGGAACCTCCTGGCCAGTGCGAAATTTTCTCTTTTTTTTCTCTCTCTCTCTTTCTTACTGAAGCCGCACACTTCCTCGGCCCAGACTTGGACCAGACTGGCACGAGCTAGAGCCAACTTGGCTCAAGACTGACCCAAGCTTGCTCCAGACTGGCCCAAGTATGAGCCGGGTAAATGTGCAGCTGGGGTAATGATTATCAATAACGGGATTTTGTTTTAGAAATTAGCACTACCTTGCATATATCCGAAAAAAGGCCTATATCTCTGCTCACTAAAAATAATAATAATAATAATTAAAGAAAACAGAATATCATTGCACTGCAAGATGGCCGAAGCTGAGAATTCCGCTAATCACATTTTTGTTTCGTCACAAATCAGATGTTACGAAGTCAGGGTTTTTAAGAGCTACGTGACGTCTTCGGTTGCCTTCCCACTCACCATGGCCGTGTTCCAAAATTTACTCGATCTTACTCTAGCGTAAGGGTTTCACACATTGGCGTTCAATAACCTACCCGCGTCCAGCACTTTACAATCTGTATTGTCACGTGACAAGACCAGCCCGAGTAACTCAGATCCATTTGGGTGAGATTTGGAACATGGCCCATGTGTCCTTTGCCCTTTTTACGTTTCCTATTTCCAAAGTTTGAACAGCGCAAAAAAGTGCGCGCGGAGACTCGTCTCGTTCACCTTCCTATTCGGGAGATGAAAGGAACCAGCTTTTAGAGGATCATCCGCCTTGCAGAAGGTTGAGTTTGTACGTTGATCTCCATGGAAATTTAAAAGAACATGAATCACGCTTCGCTGCAGTGGTTCACTAAAATAGATAGCCCACGAATGTGTGAAAGTAATTTAGCAGTTGTGCACAAGAAAGGGGTTCACCCTGCATTCCACATCTGGGGGGTTGAAATTTGTCTTGCAGAAGGGGCGGTGGGTACTATTGGCGTACTCTGCGTAGAAAAATCTGAAATGAGGTATGGGGGTCGGACTCAACCTGGGAGAGTGTAAAGCTTTTTGTTTATAGAAAAAGGGAATCTGCTCGAACGGTACTTTGCGTGTATCTTTTTGTTATTTTTTTTACATATATTCGTTAGCAAAGTAATTAGAGCAAGTTTTGTGGTATCTTGTAAGTTACATGTCAGTTTCTTCTCAGCACGTGGACAGTGCTCTCGGTGCTCTAAGCCTTCTCAAAACTGCCGCCAGTGTCTCCGCGTTGTTCGAAAACAATCACAGATGGCGCTACGACCGCACGAGCCGTTTCTGAGCCCGCGACACCGGGGTCGCTGGAGTCCGAGCTCTGGCCGGTGTCCGTTCGTCACGTGAAGGAACGACCCCCAAGTTAAGTTTCTGCTGAAGTTAGTGTCAGCTCTATTCATGGAATGTCGTCGATTTCGAGCTACAGTAATTCTAAAAGAATCACAGCGCGGCTCGTCCGCCGGCAGTTGTCACTTGTCAACGCGGCACAACAGCGGAACAGAACAAGTGCGAAAGCATCGACATCAGTGTGACGCAGAAGTCACGTGGGGCCAATTTTCGTTTCCTTCCTTTCTTTTCCCTCTCGCTCCCACGGCAACTTAGCAGCCGGTTTTGTGTTCATCCGCTACCGACCAGCCTTCCTTCCTGCCACGGCGTTCGACCGGTGGACGAGTTGGCGTCTCTCCTCTCTATAAATAAACCCCGTTCCCGCTTCAGAGAGGCATCGGACGCGAACCACAGCCACATCTCGCCGCCATCGCCTTCACATAACATCACCATATCCTTTGATAGACACAAGCGGCCGCTATACTACGTGACAAATCAACCAGCAGTGCGCAGTTTGTTCGCGACGACAACGGACGTACTACACTCGGCGGCTTCGGCATCGTCGGTTTGTGGACTCGGTGGAACAGTTGGGTGACATACGCCGGCTCGTTGTAACCGGCATCGAAGGTTGCGTCAGCTCCGAACACGTTTTTTGAAAGTCGGGATATATTTATAACGGTCTCGAGGAATGCGACTCGACTTCGGTACTGTCTACGGGAGTGTTGTTTGCGTGATTACTTTGCGTGGACATCGTCGGAGATCGAAGGATTGTTTGGTTTGAGAGCGGATTGGAGCAGACGACGAACCCAGCCATGCAGAACGGCAGCTACACCTGTTTGAATGGAGGTGAGTGGAGAAGCTGTCATTGCTTGCTCGCGTCGTAGCTACGCCGTCGTAGCGTCGCTCTACGTGTTCCCTTTCCTTGTTCGTTTCGCACTTTCGTTTACGCGGCGGGTATATCAGTACTTCTTTATCTAACTGCTTTACAGTTCGATTAGTTTGATTTACTGTGCAATTCGTTTCAGAACACTAATTGTTTATTGGAGCGAATTTATTAGCTATTATATTCACTGTGTTATTTCAACCGCCTAAAGTAAGAGATTTTTTTTTTTTTTTTAGTTTCGGCGTTTTTAGTTTTTGCGTGGAGGAGTTCAACACAAATTGACATTTCCCATTAAGCAAAAGACAAAAAGAAAGGAAAATAATGGCACTGACATTTATGAAGGAATTTATTTTGATAAACACGGAAAGCAGGTTTCAATATTTATTTGTTTACCAAAAGTGAAATAGTTTTGTGAAAAGTTGCAATAAATGTGTCAACAGAGTAAAGTAAGAAAGGCGGTATTTTTTTATTCTTGATACAAGTATTTTAACGGTGGTACTTCGGAAACATATGTCTACAACGTGTAAATATTATTTTTTTCTCTTTTAAAAAAGTAAGCCAAGGGGGTTATGAAGTTCACAAAGCACACGTCACAAAACGTTTAGTCACTTTGCCTACTTGCATGTGTTTATTTATTTTGATCATGATATATGCGAAGAGTTACCGGATAACCGAACCCTGGAAAACAAAATTTCGAAAACAAATTAACCCCAGGAAACTGAACCCCGAAAAGCCGAATACCGGAAAACCAAATCCCCGAAGAACTGAATCCCGAATAATAGAATCCCCAATGTCTATTGATTACATGAACCCAATTTCCCTGACAATTTCGTTAGGTATGTATTATTCACATATCATTTTTTAAAGAGTTATTGACGACCTACTTCGCCACTTCTTAACTGAATTTTATTGATAAAACAAATGCCCAGAGGCGTCAGAACTATTGGAGAGGAGAGGGGGGTGAGGGCGAGCGAGATTTTCCTCCCCCTCCCACATGTTTTTTCCACTTTTCTTTTTTTGACGCAACAGCAAATGATTATGCTCAGTTATCAACCGCGATGTCGCGAACAGGTCATTACCGTTCTATACGCCTTTTGTTTTCACAGCTGGAACGTTGTGTTCAAAGTAAACTGCGGTAAAATGTCCCTCTGTACAGCAGCCGTCCAGGCGGTACATTTCAATGCTGGATTCCCACTTTCATAAATAAATTACAAAAAAAAAAAAAAAAGCCGATGATTTGTTTTTTGCCTACCCGGGCCGCCCAGTGTTGAATGAACGCGTGCAGGAACAGTATCTTCGTTTTCTTAGGTGCCGAATCGACATTTCCTTTACTCGCGCATATCTATGAGACCCCTGGTAACGGAATTTAAACTTTCCAGGTTAGCTAAGCTGCGGCGTACCCAATTCGTAAGTGAACATAATCCGGTGGTGTACGAGGTCCTGCAGTAATGTCTAGTAAATACGGATACCTCCGTTTGCCAGATATATCGTCCAGAACGCGAGTCGTCCATAAAAGCGAATCAAGGTCAAGATCAAAAAAACATTCCCTCAAATGCAATAAAAATGCAACGACACGGCATGTACCATATTTTCCGGACAATATCCGCACCCGGTGTGTAGTTCGCCGGGGGCCAATTTAGGCCAAGAACGAAAAGCTATTTGACTAAAATAGTCCGCACCTGGTGCTTAGTCGACGCGAAAACCTTCTCATACACGGCACACCTTGAAAAATGTCTGCTTTTTTAGCTCACAAATGAGCCTGTATTATACGTAAATCGTAATTAATGTACTCTTCCATTCACAAAGTCCGTCACGTCTCGTCTCAATGAACGATCTTGAAAAACAAAATTCCCGTATAGTGCGCACGCGTAGATTGTCCCCGCAGCCTACAATTTCAAATTTTACGCACGTATCGTCCGGAAACCATTGCCCGGAAAATGCGCTTTTTTAATTTTAACAAGCTGCATGTTCTATAGATACTGTCTAGCGCCTAGATATCCCCCAGCAGGAATATTGCAATGTCAGCTAACGCCCCCGGTGTCAGGTCACTCTGAATCTGAAACGCTACATGATACCGAGTCACCATGATGATTCCCCCCCCCCCCTTTAATTCGTCAGGAAAATTGATGCCACGTGACACCGTCAGGTCACGTGACCACGCCGTGTGTCGTCACTTTCTCGGCTAAATTTAGGGGGAAATTTACGGCACGTAACGTCATGCGTCTCGTGACACGGCCCCTGGAAACTGTGACGTCACACGGTCGGACCAACACGAGCTAGAAAGGCCCGCGTGGGGGTTCTCGTGTAAATATCTCGTTTTAAAAGCGAAGCCACAAAAGACACTGTTTATTAAGAGAGAGAAAAAAAATAACACGATTCTGAGATTTTTTGCTTATTCGAAGTGGTAATGGGAGGGTTTTTCCTTTGCGTTTATGCGTAAGAGGGAACACTGCCGGGTAAACTAACTCTAAAAGGTACTTGAAGTAAACTACAAAATAAATGAGAGGTTATATACTTCAAGTACAATGGCAAGTACACCATGGCACAATGTATTTGAGCTAAAGTACTATAAATCCAACATGCTTTCAATTTAAAGTACAACTACTTAGCACACTCTTTTATAATGCCCTTTTTTCAATCGTGTTTTTTTTTTTTTTTTCCTTTTAACTGGCATGCATTGCTCCAGGGGTAACTGGGGGTGCATCAGTCATTTCCAAAAATGGCGACGAATATTGCATAAAGTCAAGTGGCCACAAAGCAGTTTTTACTGTCGCTGACGAACTATTTAACATAATATACTTATGAACTTCATACTTGACAAAGTATCGTTTTGTGATACAAATTTAACGAGACCAAACTTTGGGAATGTAGTCTGAAGTCGGGAGTTGTACTTTCCTTGGAAAGTAGCAAAAAAAGAAAATACTTTAAATAAAGTACAACTACATACTCCGAGATTGTAGTACCTCAAGTAGAGTACAAGTTTTCTAAACCTACTTGAAGTAGTACTGAAAGTATAATGTACTGAAGTTACTTCACTCTAAAAAAGCCCGTGAGTCTGCTTTCACGCACAACACTTCGAGAACCAATCAGCGCAACTTACGAAGGCATCTCAGCGAATGACGATGCCGAAACATCTGTTTAGACCAAAAAACGCAGACTGAGTTGTGACAGTAAGCCATGCAAGCGTGACGTTTTGCATTGCTCAATGTCACAACTCAGACTGCGTTTTTTGGTCTAAACGGATGTTTCGGCATCGTCATTGGCTGAGCTGCCTTCGTAAGTTGCGCTGATTGGCTCTCCGAGTGTTGTGCGGGAAAGCAGACTCACGGGCTTTTTTTAGAGTGTTTCCCACACTGAGAGATACACATGAGCTATGAATGGTTTCGGGTTTGTCATCCGCGGTCGTGGCGTGCATTGAGAGAGAGAAGGACGAGTGACTCGTACGGCCGGAAAGCACCGAAATATCGAACCGGCGGTCGGTCGCTTTCGTACCCTTTTCCAGGAAGGGCAACCAACGACAAGCAATAGTGAAGCCCTCGCTGCATGTATTTACGTACAATTTGACCATGCGGTTTCACCAATAAATTACTTCGTTTGTTGATCGTCTTTGAGGAAGCTTGTGTTCGTATTATTAAGACCGAAAATAAGTTTATTTATCTAGTTTATACCCAAAGTGGGTAAATACGAGTTGTCAGGGAAAATAAAATCAAAAGAATAAGATTTATTTGTTTTAAATCAGTTTAATTTAATTTAAATAACAATAATTTTATTTAAAGCATATCATTTTGGTATAAAGTATATTACTTTGATTTAAATCTGAATTATTTGATTTAAATCAGATTAATTTGATTTAGATCTGATTAATTTTATTTAATTCCAGATACTTTTATTTAAATCGAAATAATTGGATTTATATCAGATTGATTTGATCTAGATAAGATTAATTTAATTTAAATCACTGTTGCTAGAAAAAAGTGATTCTATGGATGTATTTTGAAAGGTGGCAGATTGATTGATCAACTCGTCCAATCACTGGAAACAATGCGGAAGCCAAATTTGGGGGTTTTACGTGCCAAACCTACGACGGGCATCTGGCACGCCCCAGCGGAGGACTGAGGATTAATTTGGACCACCTGGGGATCTTTTGACGTGCAACCGAAAGTTCGGTTACACGGCGCCTTCTCCGCAATAGGCCTCCTCATTTGCGGGCACCTCGGTCGGGATTCGAACCCGCCACCTGGGGATCCGTAGGCCAGCGCTCTCGCCTCGGAGCCACCGAGGCGGGCAATGCGGAAGTAGAATGTTACTGTAACCTAAAGTACAGTATAATTAGCAGCGTTTTATTGATGTAAAGACAGCCTTACTAAAACAAAAACAACTTGATTTTTGAGCTAGATAAAAAAAAAAAAAGAAGCTTAATTTGCCTTTTTTATCGCGGTGTGATTTGCTTGCCATAGGATGTTACGTAATTGACGAACGAAGCGTAAGATAGATCAGTGCTGAGATCTGCTTAGAAGTGAAAATGCTTTTCGCTCGTGTTCAACACGACAGAGCCCTACATTGTTCGATGATTCGGAGTTCAGGAATGCCTTCGCGAAAGAAACGCCCGCACCGGCTGGACTCTGGTGCATCATTGCTTTTCCGTTACGTGCCTGCTGTGCCAGCGCCATACAGTTGTGGGAGTTTCTTGTATATATTTACACACGTCACTACTGCACACTCGTGTTGCAAGGAAGCAGTACATGAGACCCGACACGTCAAAGTCAACGAACGGAAAAGGCAAAGGGGGAGAAGTGATGTCAGATTTGGCAAATAGCGTTAGAGGAAAATAACATCAGCATCAAGCCTTGTTTTCTGTTTGTTTTGTTTTCTTGAATAGAGCTGCACAAACGCCCGGCTATTTAAGAATTCAGCACGTGTCTGGAGGTAGCGGCAGTGTTCTTGTCTAGCTAGGTGGGCAGAC